AAAGGGAAAATATAATTTTATCAGGGATGAGCGCAGATAAGCAGAGAGGCATAATGAAACAGTGTAAAAACCGGAACAGCAACCAATGACGGGCATATCAGAAGAACAAGATCTCACAAATCAGTCTATATAATTTTTATAGACTGATTATATATATAATTAATATTTACGAATTTAGTAAATGATTTTTAATTTGTTTTTTATAATCTGTAAAGGATTGAAATTTAAAGTTATTAGAAATATTATTCCACAAATGTGGCGCCATGAAACTGAAAGATTTTTGGAAGTTAGCTGTTCGGTGTTGAGGAATTTTAAAACAATGCACTTGTCTAGTCGAATGATCATGGTCAACGTAGTGACACAATGAGAACAAATAAAATTGTCGTCTGTTAGTCATGGATAAAATAGATAAATTTTTAAGATGTGGTGTTATATGATCTCTAAAAGGAATGTTAAAAGAAAACCGTAGACACGAGTTTTGAAGTATTTGGATTTTTCTAGAGAATCTAGCGTATATGGATGTACCATAAACAACATCGCCATAATCAAATAAAGATAAAATAAGTGTGTCACATAATTGATACTTAGTCTTTGATGGTATATATTTCTTAAGAGACGAAAAATTCTTCAACCGTATATAAGCAGCCTTTAATTTAGTAGTTATATGTGCCTGAAAAGAAAGCCTCGCATCAAAATAAACTCCAAGATTTTTTTAGTCTCTGTAACAATGGGTATCGCAACATTATCTATATGGATATTCATGTTACCAGCCGTATTTGTAATTTTGTTTATATCACTACCAAATACTATAACACAAGATTTACCGGCATTTAATTTTAAATTATGATCCAGAGCATATTTATTAATTTTATTAAGATCGTCGTTAAAATTTAACTGAAATTGTACCAAATTATTAGTATCTATTCTGCAATAAATTTGAGAATCATCTGCATATTGCTGCAATTCAGAAAACTGTAATTCCTTATCCATATCAGCTACATATCACGAAAATAAAAGTGGCCCCAGAACAGATCCCTGAGGAACCACAGAAATCATAGGAATATAACTACATTTTTGTTTTAAATTTCCCCGCTTCATGACAACACAATGTGATCTATCTTTTAAAAGGTTTTCTATCAATTCTAACGAGCCGTCTGAAAATCCAAAATACTGTAATTTTGCTAGGAGCAATGAATGGTCTAGAGTATCAAATGCTTTACTAAAGTCTAGTAAGCTAAGACACGTCATATTTTTATTTTCTTGATTTGTTCTAATATCATTAACCAGCTTCAGTAAACAAGTGGTAGTGCTGTAGTTCTTACGAAAGCCAGATTGACATTCAGGTATTAGTTTATTTGAATATACAAATGAAACAATTTGATTATGTAGATGTTTTTCTATAACTTTAGAAATTGCTGGCAAAATACTGACGGGTCTTAGATCGTTGTTATTTAAAGGTTTGGAAATTTTACAGAGAGGTGTTATAATAGCTTTTTTCCATATTTCGGGATAGACATTGTCTAAAATAGAAGTATTAATTATGTTTATTACCGCTTTACCACAGTAAGGCATGCACAGCTTTAGTGCTTTAATTGATAAATCATCTTCACCGACAGCATTAGACCGAATAGAATTTAATATTTGATGTAACGATACCTCATCTATTAGTTTGAAATTTAGAACATTATTCCCTATTTTTTCATGCTTATTTTGTCTATAAAAATCTATTTTTTTATTTGATGTACTATTAATGCAATTCTGACAGTTCGAAAAAAAATATTAAGCTTATCTACAACCGCTAAGTTTTCAGGAACTTCCGGACTTGATTTAAATGTTAACTTAAGCCGTTTAGCATCTTTCCAGAAGTCTTTACCAGTCTTTTCCGATAAACCCTTAAAATAACTAAATTTTTCTCTATAGTATGTTTTGTAAAATTTCTGATTAATTAATTTCTGATTAACTATAGCATGTTTTGTAAAATTCCTGAGTTGACGATAATATTGTAATTTGGCTTCAGATCGTTGTTTTAAATATTTTTGATGTGCTTTGTCTCTAAGTTTGATTAATAATTTAATGTTATCCGTTATCCAGGGTAAATATGGTTTATCTGCGATTTTCTTCTTTTGCAACGGTGCATGTTTATTGAGGAGATAAAAAATGTAATTATATAGAGTTTTTATTTTAATATTAATATCCGCTATATAAAAAATCCTATTATACTATTGACACACACTGCTCATTCACGCCGGTTCGAGGCCCGATGAGATCGGATATCTCGTGAGTAAGAGTTGATTTAGACACTTGCCAAGTCGGTAGGCCATTGACCATGATATGACCGAGGACCGCGGTTCGGATTCCGCGTAAACAAAGTAGGCCCCGTCCAGATTAGCGCTAGCAGCAAAAAGGAGACGTTAACTGAAATCTTCACGTTGCGAAAGTCCTGAGGTACCTATTTGCTTTCCCATATGACATCGAAGAGAGCATTAAGGTGACCAATAAGTTCTTTACTTGCAGATTTATAGATTTCCGTTGGAATCGCGTCACAGCCAGCCGATTTGTTGTTTTTAAATTGTTTTATGGAGGCCTTTATTTCCTATTCCGTTATTAATACATCAATGCTGTTATACTGAGATATTGTGTTTAGTGCGTCCATATTCGTGTTGTTTTCTTGGTTAAGGATATAGATGTAATGTTCTTGCGATGCGATATCTGATTTGTTCTTCGTCTTGATTGGGTAGCTTACGTTCTTGATTGGGACGTATACTTCTTTTACAACTTCGAAGTATATACTCTAGCCGTGATGCGTGGCGTACTCTTAAATCTGATTAGCTTTCTATGACCACAAGTTATCCTTTAGATTGCGCAGGTTTCTTCGAAGCGTGTTTTGGTTAGGTAAGGTTAGTTTAGGAAGGTTTATAAGACAATACGTACTGTTTAAATTAAGAAGTTTGTTTAAATAAGAAGAAATTTCTGTTAATAAGATTAATAAAGTATAAGACAGTAATAAATATCGGCCAGTATTCTAGTTTAAAAAGTATAATAAAGGGAAATTTCCATAATCAGATCAAAAATATTGGAGCGAAAGAATTCCGAAGCAATATTTTCGCTCTAATGGAGTTTGACAGACAAACTAATGATCGGAGCGGCGCCGGGTAGTCTGCGGCCTCCAGAACGCGGACGCTTGACATTTATTTGATAAATTTTCTATGAATTTAGGCCATTAAGATGAACGATACAACCGAGCAAAGATAAAAGCAAGGAAATTGAAAATGCTCGGTGGATGAAGTATAAAATTAAAAAGTGAACAAAAAGTGTATAAGGCTGAGGCGTGCATTAGAAGTTTCTAGAGAACTACAATATTTATATGGGAGATTTGTTCACATCACTGTTTGACAATGAGATTTATCGATTAAACATATTTTTAATATAGCGGCGCTTCCGAAAATACCGGAAGTTGACAGCAACTTTCTTATTTGAAATGGGTACCACCATTTTTTTATCAGATATTTAAATTTTCTGTAAAATTTTATGAATTTTAATATCAAACACTATACAGGGTGGTCCGGAAACTTCGACAGCATATTTTGCAGATAACAATAAGCAGAAAAGTTCGTATAAATGTATGTCCTCAAATCCTTAGCTTCGGAGATACAAGGTGTAGAAGTTTCATTTTTATTTCGATTTTTTCCAAATAATTTCTGAAGTAACGTCAATATTTGTATGAAAATTAGTGTCTGGAAGTTTTTTAACATGAGAAATTTGATTTCGATGTCAATATGATTTCTATTTGTAGGGGGCGCCACCTACATGTGTTTTAACTATTTTGAAGAGTAATAACTTTCCGCCGGTACCAGTATAAAACTACCGAGTGACAAAATATGCATTTCCGTGAATTTATACGTAAAAAATGTGTCGGTAAAAATCGCTGCAAGCAACCGTTCTCAAGATATTTAGGATGGAAATAGTCAATACATATCGTTATTGACAAAAAATATACAAGTTGAGTAGATAGTTATTTGACTAAAATAATAAATTTGAAAACTTTTTATCTTTTTAAGTTAATCAAAAATTTTCTTCGAAAAAATGATGATAAAACAGTTTCTATTGTTTTTGGTGCAAAAATATTTCAAATTTATGATTTCAGTCTAATAACTATTTAGTCAACATGTTTAATTCATGTCAGTGATGACAGGTATTGATAATTTCGATTCAAAACATCTCGAGAACAATTACTCGTAGCGATTTTTACCAAGAGACCTTTTATACTCAGTAGTTTTATACAGGTACGGACGAAAAGTTATTAGGTACTCTTCTAATCAGTTAAAAAATATGTAGGTGACACCCTCTACAAGTAGGAGTCAACATCAAAATCAAATTTCTCATGTCAAAAAACTTCCAGACACCAATTTTCATCCAAATATTGACGTTACTTCAGATATTATTTCGAAAAAATCGAAATAAAAATGATATTTCTACACCCTGTATCTCAGAAACTAAGCATTTTAGGACATATATTTATACAAACTTTTTTAATTATTTTTTATTTGCAGAATATGATGCCGAAGTTTCCGGAATACAGTTCGAACCACCCTGTATATCTAACATTAACCGTTTTTGAGAAAAAAAAAGTTTGAAGGAAAAAATTGTCTGTCAAAAAAAATGATATAGTCTAAACATCAAATTTAATGACTACCACAGTCACTGCGGCATAAAGAGAAGACACGTGGATATCTAGTATTTCAACAATTATATTGTTCGAATATCAAATAATAATATTGGCCGTAGCTGTCGTGGAATCAAACAATTTTTAAAATTGTGGGACGAGAACGAATAACTTATCTAAAATGTATAAATCAATCATGGAAGAGATGTAGCCACTCACCAACAAATTAAGGCGCTGTAAACAAACTAATATTTATTATAACCACTATTGATGAAGGGATCCCGAGAAACACAGTAAATAATTTATTGATATATTACATCGTTTTGTATGTACTTACCTTACTTATGGGAACAACTGCTTGAATATCATCTTTATGAATTTCAAATCTGACAGTTGATTTTCTTCCTTCTGCACCTCTGTGGATTTCAATATCGGTATCTTCTTGGTGGGGCTCAAATCGAGCAGTCCACACTATTCGAGCACCTTCGTAAGTATCGGTTGCGTCATCAGCAACTTCCAAAAGCCAGCTAAATAGTTCCATAACTCTGAAAACAAAATAAATGGTGTTAAAAATTATAAACGACATTAAAATATATTTAATAAATCAACCATTTTTCATAAATCAACCAAATTCTTCTTATTTTATATTTTATACTAGAGCAAAGCATGCAGGAACTGAGCGTAGTCAAGCGCGAGGTCATTTATAACGTCATCACTGCTACATTTTATAAGTAGTTGCCATACAGTGAAAATTCTCCGCTTGGGTAGTTATTAATATTTGATATAAAAAATGTTTCTTTAAATTTATGTTTTTTTCCAATGACATTCCTTATGAACAACCCGGACTTCCGACGACATTATGTCGGGACAATATGCTCTTCAATATTAGCTTCATTGTTTCACCTCTTTGAATACTTTTATGCTCGATAAATCACACATTTAGAGGACGTTTTGTCTCTCCAATATGCTACTTGGAAATTTCCACAATATGACAATTACTTATAATACTTAAAAAATATTCATAACTCATAAATCATGTAAATGTTAATGGTGTATGGGAAATTAAAACAACTTTGGTTGCACATCACAATACGACCATCAGCAAACTCCATAAGACGACGCATGGTATCATTGATAACGTGCACCCAAAGTTGTTTTAATTTCCCTTTACATAAAGTAATACGGTCGCAGTGGAACGTTCCATGTGGAACCCACCCTTAGTAAATACTATACAAAGTAATACTACAAAAAAAATATCAAAATAACACTAGAACAAATGTAAAATTAGCAACGTTGTGCTAACAATCTACATCGTGTATTAGACACATTTGAAACTAAAATTTTAAATCAAATTAAATTTTGAAATAAACATCATAAAAGATTGCGAGTTTTTTGAGTCCCCTACCCCTCGTCAGAGGTTTTACATTAAGATTATAAAATTAATATTCTTTAGAGATAACTTTAAAACTATTAGACTTGATATCTAGAATAAGCACTACGTGTTCGCAATAATATATTTTTGTAATAACTTCTTTAGAACAACTATAGTTAGGTAAATAATTATATACATTTTTTGCTTTCTACGGCAGTTCATTTTTATTCAGAAGTAGTTTAAAAGTGACTTACTGACTACATTATTTCATTTTAAATTATATAGAATTATATCATGACTTTTTGCTTCTTTTAAGAGAGATGAGGGCTAAAATTAGGCATTCTTGTACCGATAAATCGTATTCCGTGAGACATATTATAGAGACGCGTAGTTGTGCAGACCAAACGGCGCCGGCGTCAGTATGTCAATGAGAATGGTCTTATTTTTAGAACTAAAAGATAGACAGTGGTTTAATGAAAAAGTTTGGTACACTGGCGTTTCCAAATGTATTTTCCTACAGTTTTCCATACTGAAATAGTGGTTCAGAATAAATATTTAATCTCTGAAATAAAAAAATGTACCTTTCAGAACATGTGGATGTAGAATTATCATCTACGGCACAATTCTCACTATAACGGCCAGCTATCGTCACGTCGAGCCGACCGGCGCGTCATCTTGCCACCGGCCACCACGGCAAATATTCTTAATTGCCAACAATGAACATATTCACACTACCCATAATATCACCGTCACGTCGTCTTTTGGTGGTAAAATCCACCTCTCATTTACTTCATGCTTTCTGTCGAGACGATGGCTCGACGTGACGGTGATGGTACGTTATAGTCAGAATTGCGCCTAATATAATGTTTGTGAGAAAATGACAATCATATACAAATGAATTACGAAGTAAATGTTTATCACATACAAACAAATTATGATAAAATGCAAATCACACATTTTCGTTATTTAATTGGTTACATTTTTTGTGAAAACAAACTAAGAAAAATTAAAAAGTCTTAAAAAAAGAAACCTTTAGATTAACAAACTTAATAAAGTGCAAAAATATTAGGTCTATACCACGTGTTTTTCAAAAGTGGCTCAATTCTATAACTTTTTTATTCTTTTAGAAAAAAAAACGAATTTACTTTGTTAGTCTATGTACGAATTCATTATTGACTGTATTCAGTTAGTTTCGTTCACTTCCTGTTTCACTGGAGATGACTACAACTTTTGATTTTTAAATGTTACATCGGTATTCTTTAATTTATTTTATAGAAAATGACATTCTGAATAGAATGGCATATAATATGCCATTTGACTTTTTCTAAATATGTTAATGAGTCAAACTTGTTACATTTGAAAAAGTTGAGATATGATTAAAAATACCTTTTAGGCATCTTTTATCCGACCAGGAAGAGACACAAAAACCATTGGACGAGTCATTCTATTCAGAATAAGTCATTCTAGTCAGAATGATATTTTCTATATAAGAAAAAAATACAGATGAAACTATTTAGAAATCAAAGGTTGTAGTCAATCCATATTTGTCATATACTAAAATATCAAATTTCTTTTTTTTTTATTTAAAAAACAAAAAGTTATAAGGGTGAGCCGCTTTTTAAGAAACACCCGGTACATCTATCAGAGAGTTACGTGCTATTTGTTATCTATCGATAGTCGTTTTCATATAAAATGTTTATATATCATATAAATACAATTAAATTAAACATGTGCTTGTAGTTTTTTTGCTTACAATAAAATGCAACTACTTCAAATATTTATTTTGTTATAAACAACAATTTGAGTTAGTGTTATGTTATCATTATAAGAGTATGTTAGCAAATTAAAATTCATAAATGATAATTTAATGTAATATTTTTGCAACATAAGTTCAATAGTAGTTTATATTATTATTCATTATGCAACATTATTTAATTATAAGACATCACAAAATAAACTTTTGCGTCCTCTGTCCTCTGTTACTAGACCAAAAATAAAGTAAGAAATTGTCGCACCGCAAAATCGCATTTCTTGAAACATCGATCAGACAGCGCGGTCGTGGAGCCGGGTTGGAGCCGGAATGCGAATGAGAACAGCAGTATTGTGGCTACGAAACGATGGAGACGTAGAAATACAATCATAAAATGCGCACAGTAGTGTGATAAAGGAATTTTTGTTAGTACAGACGACTCCGATGCTATAGCACTTTGCGAATATTTTGAAAGTCTCTTAATTACTCGGAGTTTGTTAAAAGAAAAACTAAAAAAAAAATAACAAAATATCGTAAAATAGTCAAACAAAATTGCTTCTTTGAGTGTTTTTATTTATTTTTCTTTCTAGAACACCACCATAACATAAATCTAAGTCAAAATTAAAAAAGAAAAATGTCATACAGAAAATTTAAGCTTTTTGATTTTACCTCATTAGAAAAAATAGTATATTGTCCAACTAGTGCAAAAAGTTTGATTTGGTTTTATAATAATCGATGGGCAATTGACAACTTCGCACGACTTGCACATACTACTGTTACGTATGCGGGGAGAATTAGAGTAGTAATTTTAGTCAAAAAAAATAACGAAAAAGTTAAAAGATATTAAATAAAATTATTTTTAACACCTCTTCAGAGAGACTTGTAATTCGTTGTGTTACTCGCCAGTGCATTAAATGTTTGTATGCTGATTCCTATTTAATCCGTGATATTGCAGGAGTCAGATTATTGATCACCTCATTTGCTCTTTTAAGAATTTCAGGCCGTATACACCCATCATTTGGCGTTTCAAGAATTTCTGGCGATATAGATTCATCAATATCACTTTCATCAGTTTCCGGAATCCAGTCGGGATCATTACTCAATAATTTATTTAAATGCCAACCTCACTTCTTTAATATTGACACTGAGACTGTCTTTTTTGCTTGTCAATTTGGGTTTGCCAATGAAAATTTGAGTGCGAGAAGTTTACTTGTCGCATTCAAATCGACATTAAATTTGCTCAAAACTCGTGTGGTAATTGTGAAGTGGGCAATTAGCGTCTTCGACTCCAAAAGAAAGCGAAAAGATACTACTTTCCCCGCATGAGTAATAAAAAACATTCTTACTGAATTAATATAAAGTTTATATCGTCATGGTTACGATAACTATAAATAAAGTCATACTCCGTTGTTATTATTAACGGGAATTAAGATCCCTTAATTTTATCTACCTTTTATAGGTAACAACCATGAAATATAAGAGATTTTGAGTAATAAAATAAAATAAAAATGGACATTATCTAACCACTCTAGAAATGTATTTACATCATTAATGTGACATATAATAAATTTACAAGAGATCAGTTTCATCGACATCTCAGAGTTTATGTTTTGGTGCATTGTCATTAGATAAAGTGAAATGTAAAGTAGTAGCAGTCAAATGTCATAGCAAGCATAGTAAGCATATTATATTAATGATACCATAGAATAAAAAAAAATGACATTAAAGATGAAAATAAAGAGAGCTATAATATAGAAATTTATATATCTGAATCCAATGCCCTAAATATAATTTCCAAGTCAGCCTGGCGTCGTTTTATTGGACTTTTGACGTTCTCGCAGTTTAATTACTCAAGTTTAATCGACGTCTGTGGTAAATAATTAAAGTGTTCTCGAAACAGTAAAATTTAGAATTTTGGATAGTTTTTTCTCTGTCCGTTTTCTTTTCTTTATATTTCAGAAGAAGACACTAACAATTTTTTGTAATTTTTATTCTAATAATAAAATGTTACAGAGTTAAAATATAAAAGAAAATGATTACTAATACCGAGTATTATCCCCAAGCTTCAATCACTCCTAAAAAATCATCAAATTCGGTACACCAGAACAGTACATATAGATTTTTAAGTTACATCAAAATTTTATGGTACCCGTTTTTCCTGCACATTGATGACATTTCCCATATAAATTTACATATAAAATGACAGCGATCTTCATTCCATAGCCATCGCTGAAGCCGTTTTTTCTCGATCATATGGTATTACTAAACTGACATTAAGTGTCAAATTCAAAGAGTGTACCTAATGTACCCATTGTTGCTCGATAAGAAATTACTATTCTTTATATTATTTGTGACGTTTAAAATTGTTTAAAAAATTATTTGTAACGTTCGAAAAAAATAGCAGGTTCTATTTGAAGTAAAGA